AAGAAATCTAAAATGTTAGAAAGAATTAAGAACGATATTGATAAGTTGGTATGATTTTTAGTTTTAAGAGATTTCTTTGGATTTTGGATGTTAAGAGGAGTTACAATGAGATAGGTTATTCTGGTTAAGTGTATTTGAGGATTATATTGAAAAATGACTTAAAGAAGTATGATTTAGATAAGTTTTGGTAAATTTTCAAGCTAAAATAAATACATTATGGGCCAGGGGTATCGGTACTGGATGAACAGTACTGATACTCCAAAGTAAAATGAGTAGAACTGGGTTTGGGGTATCGATACTAGAGAAACAATATCCATACCATAATTGAAATTATGATGAAACATTTAAAGAGTATCGATACTGAAGGGGTAGTATCGATACCATTATGCAAGTGCCGATACCATTTTTAGAGATGAAATTCCAGAACCAGAATAGGGTATTGATACTGAAGTATAGTATCGATATCACGGTAAGGAAGTATCGGTACTGTACCTTGGGTACCGATATTGTAACACCCCCAACCCGTATCCGACCCGGATCCGAGTCTGAGGTGTCACATTGATTTTTCAAAATGTTTTCTTTACAAATTGGTAAAAATTTAAATCCATAATTCAGGAAAATGAATAATTTTCATTAATTAAAATATTTGGTTTTACAAAATCTATCAGAGCATATCCACTACAATTCTCTTAATACATGCCAACTAAATATAACAAGGTACACATAATTCAAAATTCTTTTATGATTTGAACTTCTTAAAGGATATGATGACATGTCTTGCTCCTCTTAGCTTCTCTTCTCACTTTCCGGAACCTACATGTGAAACACTCACACGCTAAGTCGATAACTTAGTGAGGCATATAAAACTTATGATATAATTCTAACTTCTAACAATGCATGATCATGAAATATTATAATATCACATCAAATCATATACCAATTCATCCATTAACCAAGCAATACATAACATTGCATAAATCAGATAATCCATTTCATATTACAAATCACATATACATATTTCATACCGTATCTTTGTTTAACCTCTTTATTAGCCCATGTACACATGTGAGAACTAAAGATATGCGAGTACATTGAGGTTGTGCACACATATGCTGACACCACAGCTCGAATAAATTCCCACTAGGGGCACTTGAAATTTGTCCCAAATGACCATTTTGTCCCGAATGACCACTATCCATAAGTCCCGAAGGACATAAGTAACCTGTCCATATGTCCTAAAGGACATAGCTAAACTGTCCATATATCCCGAAGGACATAAGTAACCCTCAACTCTTGGCATGCCAATTATACCTCTAGCCTTCACTTCACATAACATGGGCATTCTCTTTCATATCATTTCCCATATTCATATAAACATATGGTTCACTTTCATATATCACATATCATATCTCATATCTTGTGATCATGCAATCACATTACTTATACTCATAGAGTTCAATATCATTGAACTTACTTCACTTTTTCATGTTATCACATATGCATATAATTTTATATGTCCTATCAAAAACATATAGACTTACGCATGTATTCATGTGTACTCTTTAATGTAATCTACATAATAATGCCATATACTCATATCATATAATAATTTCACCTAGGTCTCCCTCATAGAGTTTATACTACATGTTCATATAATCTTATTTTATCCTATAAGAAATTAATACTCATCTTATCTTACTTTTCCATTTTATTCATATAAATCATTTATAACCGTCCACATGATTTAATCATAGCTAAACTGTCCATTTATGTCTATGACCCCAAATTTATATACTATTCTCATAGAGTCTCATAACCTTTCTTGTGTAATCATTTATACCATATAATATAACTTGTAATTGGTTATCCTATGTTTACATATATATCAAATGATTCTTTAGTTTGTAGTTTATTTCACATATTCATTTAATTCCTTATGTCCTTATCACATAACTTAATTCATATTCTTATATAATCATATAGATCATTTGTATTATTTTACATGACTTATCACAGTAACATATATTTACATAATTCATATAATACACACAATAACATGTCAATACATATACTCATACACACAAATAAATCATAACAAACACATACTTCTATCAATGAATTCATGCATTTACCATCAGAAATAGATTTGTCGCAAGTTTTATTTCCATTAAACATCATATACTGATTAATATGCACTCACCTGACCTCACTTAATTTTCAAACCACCTCTATGGTTTCCTTTCTTTGAATTGAATCATAACTTTGAGGTTGTTCCGGAATATGCTTACACTTGATATCTACATAATAATACATTTATACATATATCAGCATTCCAATACTATGATTCGATCCTTAATTTCTTAAGCTAGAAGAAATGGTTAATCCAATTTTTCTCTTGTAATGGTATCGGTACCCCCATAGGGTATCGATACTTTCCTATCTGTGGTGCCGATACCAAGCCTAGGTATCGATACCCATATTGCATTATGTAATTCTTGTCGAAACGGTTATCGCATCTTTTTATGGCTTTTTCGGGGATCAATCCAACTTAATTTTGGGAACATGTTGGGTTTTAAATAAATACATAAATAGATAAATTTGGAGTCATCATCGATCTTAGGGATAGGTAGGTCGAATACCTAAAAATACTTTTTAAAATAATTTTAAGAAAAATAATTTTAAAAGATGAAAAATTTGATCGGGCTTTAACCATAAATTCATTTTGAAGAAGGTTTCGGGAGTCGGTTACGTGTGGGGAAGGATTAGCAACGCCCGAAATCAGTACCTAAACGATTATACGTCATATAAATATTAAAATTGGCAAATTCGAACAACATTTAAATTATGATATTTAAAAAAAAGGATATTATTTTATATGAATAATCCTTGGAAATACCTCCCTAGTCAATTAAGGGAGTATTTTTATAGATTCCTCGTACAAAATAGTATTACCCTAAATTTTAAATACAAAAAAATCCTTTAAAACATAAAAGATGTTATTTTATTCGAGCAATCATTAGAAACACACTTCTTGTCAGTTAAGGGGAGTTTCTTTAAATTTCTAGTATAAAATAATATAAGAGAATATTTTGATTTGCAATAATTTATAAATATATAAATAAAATATTAAATAATTAATATAATATTTTTAGGGATTAAATTATAAAAATAACAAAAGAACAAAGCAATCATTGTAAATATTTCATATATTAGGCACTTTAAACGTAAATAAACCAATAGTATTATTAAAAATATTAAAATTCGAGGATTAAACTATAAATAATCAAAATTCGTAGCCATAATAGAAAAGTCACACAAGCTAGGTACTGGAAATGTAATTTAACCATAACTAAATTTCAGGATCAAAATGTAAATTATTACACTTAAAGGACTAAATTAGATATTTACCCAAAACATATGTAAATACAACCATTGACTAAAATAAAAACAAAATAAAATCTGGAATTCAAATTAAAATACATGGAAATCAATTACAATTACTAAAATGAAAGTTTACAAAACTAGAGTGACCCGGAGAAGGGTTTACCCAAACCCCAAAACGAAGAAATCCCCTCCCCAAAACGACGTCGTATGGAGAGGGGTATATATACCCCTCAATAGGCCTAAAAATGGCCTCAACTCTCATTTCTTCCTTTTTGCTTCTATCTTTAAAAGAGATAGTTCTCTCGTCTCTCTCTTCTAACCTCACCGGAGGGAGACCGGCAGTCTCCGACCACCGCTCGCCAGAGCTTTCGGCCGCCGTCGACGACGGATGTCAACCTAAAAATTTACCCCAAAACGTAGATCTCAACACCCTAAACCTAAATCCTATCATCCTTAAGCCTAAAAATCCCTACATCGTCCTAGATCTACATAAAACCGAAGATTTTACCTTCAATTAAACAGCGGTCTCCGACGACGTTCAACTTCTATGGTGGTAAGCTTCTCCTCTCTTTCTCGTTTTTAGTTTTTTAATGGTTTGGTTTTCATTGGTTGTTTTTGTTTATGGTTCTCATTTTTTTCTTGTTCATTTGCAGGTGGGTTTTTATAGAACCTGTGACCCTCCCTTCGAACCAGTCGAAGAGGAAAAGCCCCGTGAGTCACTGGGGCTATGTGCATTACATGCACCCAGATATTCTGGATCCGGCCAGTGCGACGGCTCACGTGGCAGTGGCTGAGAGGAGCTCATGCACTGGTCGATGGTCTTCAATGATGGTGGTATCTCATCCTCGAGCTAGGCGGAGGCTAGGCATAGCCCTAGGGTTTCTTTCTCATCTGGACCATTGGATCAAAATAAAATCTAACGACTAAGGACAACGAGCGGCAGAAGCTAAGGGTGAAAACCCTAGCTGGGTTTGGACCACCTTATCGGGTCTGACTTATGGGTTCTGGGTCATGTAATTGGGCTTCATTGTTGTTGGGCCCTATTTATTGGGGCTACAGGTCACTTGTAACTGGGCTCCTATTGTTGGGCATGCAAAATAAAATTATTAAATAATAAGAATAATAAGAATAATAATAATAATTTGGGACGAAAACTACTGTCTACACCTTCATTCTTCGATTGCCAAGTGGTAATTTATCAGTCATGAATGGCTGCCGGTCTTGCCACGTTAAGATTTTACACAATTCCAACATATAATTGCCAAGTTTGACTTCCAACAGAAACTAGAACTTTTACAGATAATAATAAATTCGAGGTCAATTGATTCAACTTATTCTTTTTAAACTGTCATGTAATAATAAGATAAAATGGATATGTTCAAATAATAGGATGAAGTTTATATTTCGCGGTATTCACAGATCAGTGGCGTTAGTCCACGACAATGACCTAAAAATAACGCCGTGACTAATTGTTTGTAAGGGAATAATCCAAACGATGTGTCAAAATTCCACGAGTTATTGTTGGTATCGTCTTTATGTATGTGTCAAAATTATAAATTCAGGGTATCCCCTAAAGTGATGCACCAAGAACCATAAAGAAAAATATCCGAAACCTAAAGGGATATAGGATATTGCACCGACGTGGCTGCCGACCAGAGATGAATGCAAGCGGAATGGTGGTGTGCGTGACCGGAGCGTCTGGTTACGTAGCTTCATGGGTGGTTAAGCTCTTACTACAACGTGGATACACTGTTAGAGCCACTGTTCGCGACCCTGGTTTGTAGTCTGAGATGAGTTTAATTTCAGTTTCGACATCTAGATATAAAATGTCTGACATGAAACAGGTGATCGGAAGAAGACACAACACTTGGTTTCGCTGGATGGAGCCAAAGAAAGACTCCATTTGTTCAAGGCAGAATTGTTGGACGAAGGATGCTTCGACTCTATCGTGGATGGATGCCAAGGTGTTTTTCATACTGCCTCGCCGGTTAACTTCTCAGCTACCCATCCACAGGTTCATCCTTCCATTTTTTGTCTTCTATTTAACGATTTCGTAATGTGACTTTACTAACAAAGGTTAATGTCTCGTTACGATAGACAAACTAATAATGGTAATTGATCTTCAAGTTTTATCATCGTTAATAAACGTGTAATACACTGATACGAATCCGACATGTTCAAGAGAAAGAATTTTATTTTGATTTAATTCAAAGCTTAAAGGACTTCAATTGAAATATTAATGTCAGCTAAGGACTTCATTTCCCATTACCTAAAGCGTTGTGCTTAGTTCGAGGATTGAACCTTTCTCTCCAAAAAAAATTATTACTTTTAGGAAGGACAAATTAGGAATATTTACGAAGTATGTGCAATAAGGTTGCCCTGCATGTTATTTGACACACTTTCGTTTGTTTATCACATTGTATGGATGGCAAATAGGCAGGTGCGAATAACTCTTCTTTCATCTTTATATCTATTTAATATTTTTGTATTCATTATTTACCCATCATTTACAATATGCAAATTTTTTAAATTCACAACCGTCTATGTGAAATCTTGTGATCACTGATAAAATGACATGTCACTTTATAAAAATATATTTTAATTAAAAAATAAAACTCATTTCCCCCTATTTTGACAAAAACATATAAGATATACTTATAATTATTTTATAAAAATATATTTTTATTTAAAAATAAAATAACTCATTTCCTCGACAAAAACATATAACACATACTTACGGTCACTAGATTCCATGTTACTCTTCGTGACAGAAGTGAGTAAACTCCGTTAACAGTAAAAAATACTATGTATGAAATCATGAATTTTAAAACATTATGTATAAAATTTAGAATTTGATACACTTCATGTATGAATGGGTAATTAACCCAATTCATAATGGTCTAAAATTTCTTACAATGGGTGCGTGGGAGGGTGGATGTAAGACGGACGGATACGGGGTGAGCGGATTTGGGGTAGGTAAGGTCTTAAATACATCACTTACCCACTATCCACTTCGGCCTGCGGGTATGACTTTTTACATCCACACTCGTCAATTACCCACTAAACTTATACTCATCTCAGCTCCAATTGAAACGAATGTAGTGTAGAATTCAAGAAATTATATCCTTTTCCATCACTGTCACATTGTCAATGAGTTTCATTTCCCGATTTCAGAAGGAATTAATTGATCCAGCAATAAAGGGTACACTTAATGTTCTGAAATCATGTGCCAAAGTCGCTTCCATCAAGAGAGTTGTAATAACTGCTTCCATCGTCTCAGTTGTGTACAATGAGAAACCTTTAACTCCCGACACGGTGGTTGATGAGACTTGGTTTTCAGATCCACTCTTTTGTGAGAAAAATAAGGTATCTTCATATTCTGCTGTCTTTTCATAATGCATATTACGAGGGAAAAATGTGTTCAGATGACTAAAGAAAGTACTTCTTCCAGCATTGGTATATGGCCTCGAAAACTCTAGCCGAGGAAGCAGCCTGGAAATTTGCAAAAGCAAATGGGATCGACTTGGTTGTGCTTAATCCCGGATTTATGTTTGGTCCTCTTTTACAGCCTACCCTAAACAGCACTTCGGAGGTGGTTCTAGGCTTAACAAAAGGTACATGAGATGAGGGTTCTCTGTCTTCTCTTAAAACCTGAATCATCTCCACTGTTCATTATGTTGTAGAAATATTTAAAATGTTTTGGAAACAGGAGAAAACACTTTTCCTAGTTCAACTTATTGGCTCGTTGATGTTCGGGACGTTGCATATGCGCATATTCAAGCATTTGAGGTTCCTTCAGCTGCCGGCAGATATTGCCTAGTACAACAAGTTGTTCCATTTCAGGAGATTCTGAAGACCTTGAACCAACTTTATCCTACTTTGGGACTTCAATCAAAGTAAGCAAAACTGTGTTATATTTCCGTTTAGGCCATCAGTTGCCAAATGCTAATAAAAGGGGCGTCTTGTTTATGGCAGATGTGAGGATGATAACAAGCCTGTTGAGCGTGTGTTCAAGGTGTCCCAGGAGAAAGCAAGAGATTTGGGTGTCAGCTTCATTCCTTGGGAATTTGGTCTGAGGGATATTATTGAAAGCTTGAAGGAGAAGGGCTTCTTAAGCATCTGAAATTGTCTACTATAGTTTAATGCTTCATGTTGTTGTGAACGTTGTCTCTACTATGTACTGAACTTCAAGCATTTGGATCTTTAGTTTTGTTTATGTTTATCCGCTTGAACCAAATTTTATATATAATGTAATGAATTTGGTGCGGTTTATGGTTAATAATGTTAGGTTTGATTTCTGAAAGTGAATGATCATCTTGTTTTCATCCATGGGAAAACGACACCAACCACTAATTCAATCGCCTTTACTTCACAATAAAAAAACTTGGATCATTCTAATATATCAAACAGTACCGTTGATGATCTATATTTCTGAAGGAATTGAAGTCGTTTGTCAAAGTGCCTAACAGTTGGACTATAACTATCTGCATTTAGGCTAAAGGAGCAGAACCTTTGGCAAGAGCTAGCATGGCAGCTATTATACAAATAGTTTACATGGGTGCATTGCCAGTAGCAGCGACAGTTTTAGCAGCAACGGGAACTATATTGACTATGGAGCGATGAAGTTCTCGTTAGTCTCGGAATGTCGGTGTCGTTGGATGACCAAGAGGGAGCCGTTCATATTCATTTCTGCAGATGCCAAGAGATCACCTACGGAGCCGAGCTCCGGACACTCCTCCCAATCGCTTAAACCGGTCGTCAAGGGGCAATTCCTTCTTCCTCCTTTGCCGACTATCACCAATGAGTACATTTCGTCCAATATCTCTCTTAGAGCTGCTAATGTCTCTGCCACATTGCTCACATGCTTCTCAACCAGACTGGCTTTACCCTGAGAGACAAACCGGTTATAAAACGTGTCGACAAAGGCGTTGTCGATCTCGTTCTCTGCCCCGGCGGTCGATATCGCCATGATCACCTCCTCATCCTTTTGTGAAGCATTGTTAATCCAAGAATTTTGTCTTGTAATTGTTTGTATGAAGCGGAACACCGTTAGATTAACTTGACTGTGCGTCAACATTCTCTTGCTGCATGCTAAAGCCTCACGATCGTCAGGGCCGCCGAAGAAGAATGTCGCTATGTTTTGCACGGTGGGAGAGCCGTGTGGTTGTTGGAATCCGGTCTGTCCACGGTCGATAAAGATACCGACAGAACATGGAGCATCTCGGATAACCTTGTGGTTTATAGTCCTTATTTCCTCCATGCTGTTTTCCATTTTCCCATCAATTCTTTGGTACTTATGGAACGGAAGGAATATAATAGACACAAGCAAGTCCTTAGCACATTCGCATACATCTTGGTCTATGGTTAGAAGGGATGATACAATCTTAGACTGGTGGACCAAGATTTTGGTTTCAAAAATGAAGGGATCTAGAGTGTCGCTGATCTCGACGACATCGTTTCCACCGTAGTCTTCCTCGTCGCTGTATTGATCGCCATCTTCCAGTTGATGGTACATCAATTTGCTTTCCCTTTTCTTAGGAAGCCCCACAAGGTGCACCAGGAAGGGCTTGATCGGCACGTTTCGACAGCCGCTCAATGCCGAGATGAGGCTAATGTGCCCCGAAACATGGCGTGGGATGTATACACAAGCCAGTACACGAAGCTCGCTCTCCTGATTAAGTATTTCCAGCGTGGTTGGATGATGAGAAAAACACTCGTCTCTGTTCAACCAGATTGCAACCACCGGTGCTATGATCAATGTGTTGAGAATCACGACGCTGACGAACAAATCGTGAATGTCTCCTTCCCACAGCTTCTGCAACAATCAAACAACAGTGAACAGAAAATCAGCTATCAAATGCATATACTATGAACAAGGTGAAAGCAAGGGAATCAGGAACTTTACACGGGTACAGGAGGAGTGTTAATGAGTATAAGGTCGTAATTGCCTTTCATGTTGAGTAATAAAGAAAGTATGAGAGACTCGTTCCTGGGGATCTTGAGGTAATAACAAGTGGCGAGTGTGCCGGCGATTCGCGTGCCGGCACAGAGGACAATGATGATGGTGGCAAGAACAACAGTGAATTTATTAAAGACACTGCTTATATTGAACTGGAAGCCGGCGTAGCCGAAGTAGACCGGAAGAATGAATGTATTGACGGCGTAAGTGAGTTTATGCAGCAATGTCCGATACGTTTTGCATTCCCTAGGGAACGTGAGGCCTACCAGGAAACAACATGTTATCGATGTGAAGCCAGTGTTTTCCAAGAACGTGGACGCGCTCGTGAGAAGGAACATGATGATGAAAATTTCACTGTTGGTCACAAATCTATTATGCCGGTTCCTCTTGTTGAAAAACAAGGACAAATACTTGTTGAGAAAGATGACTGTCACGGTAACAAAAGTGACAAGCATTGCAGTCTTGAAATGTCGGGAGGATGAGCAGGCCGTTACCGTAGAGACGATTACGACGCAGAACATCTCGTTAAGGAGGGAAGCGTATATCGCCAGCCGGCCTAAATCAGTGGTGTCGGACTTGGTTTCCGCCATCATCCGGAGGACGACGGGAGAGGCCGAATTTGCCAAGACGGTGAAAATGAGGAGGTAGAACGTGAGGCGGTGTTCAACCACTCTGAACACCCTGATAAGCAACCACAAGAGAGGTCCGGCAAAGATGATGGACAAGAACAAACCACCGCCGGCAACGATACTCACAACACGGAAATTGTGTTTCAAATAAGGAATATCAGTTTCCAACCCGATGGAGAACATAAACAGCATCCGACACAAGAAAGAGAAGAACATGTAGTATTCTGCAGAAGAGGCCTGGATGAAGAAATCCTTAACTTCGCTTATCCGAGTCAACAATGTTGGGCCGACAACAACACCAGACTGCATGTACACAACAACTACATCATTCATATATTATACATATACACGTATATAAATGCCAATGGAGTTGAATGGCTCACCAGAAGTTGAGCAAAAGGACCAGGTTGCCCCAAGGGTTTCAAGAGGATGTGAAAGATATGAGAAGTGACGAGGATGCAGGAGACCTGGAAGCTGCTTGTGACCCAAGGGTTGAATGAGTCACCTGATTGACACATTAAATTCTCTGTTCCTTCCATCTTGTTTTTGATTTTTTCTTTACCACAACAACAATTGCTGCTGCTGTTGCTGCTCTACCAGGTTGAAAACAGAGGTTTCAAGGAACAAGAAAGAAGGGAAGAAAGCAGAGGCTGCTTCTCTTCTCTTCTCCGATCAAACCCTCCCTCTTCCTGTCCCTTTGATGGACGTCCTTTGTTCCGGAAGATTTGGTCATATAAAAGCGGAGGTCTCTTTAACTTTGCTTTTTATATATTACAGATTTTGTACAACCAAATCATATACAGAGCACCTAACTCATCATTCTTCCTATAAATAGATTCACAATAACAAATCATACCTGCATGTGAGTTAATAAAAGATTACATGAAAACCACGTACGTTAATGTCAACGTCTAAACTTTTTCGATTTTCTAAGATAATCGTTATACAGATACAACAATAAACTAAATATAATACTTTGATCTATTAGATATATCCGAACGGTATATATTGCATTCAAGAATAATTTTTTTTTGTGATATTTTTGAAACAATAAAAAGACAAAAATAACAAGCCAACACAAGTATTAAATCATTCCTCAAAATCCTTGAACTCTCGTTCTAAAATGGTAAAAAATTAGTAGAAAGATGAAAACAAGAGAAGATAAACAGAATGGCAGATGGTTAAAATTTAGGTGAGATAAATTTAAAAGTTTGATATAAAAATGAAGATGAGAAATAAATATTCTTTGTGGATCTTTTTAAATTTTCTTGAAACTTTTTTTTTTTGTGTGAATCTTTTATAACGGAAAAAATAAATATTTTCAATTCAATCCCATACAATTCTTTTGCTTGCTTTCATTAAAAGAAATCACCAAAAGAAAGAAACAAGATGGGACAAGTATTGATCACTGTACATATTTTGGACAAGCAAAGAATCAAAGGCAGCTAACCATTTTAAAACTACACGTGAACTGGAATCATAATATTAAACAACACATTTTCTACACTACCTACCTTTTAGGTTAACCAACAGTAACAGTTCCAAGAGAATCCCAGGGAAAACTACAGAAACTCGAATCAATACACATTATAGAACACAATTCAATAGCAAGCTCCAAGTGAGCCAAATCACATGCCAAGATTTCGTCTTGTGGCTTCCATTTTCAGCAAAAGATCTTTAATATCCGCTTCCATTCTTGTCTTCATACTGTAGTATTCCCTGTAAACTCTTTCTAGGGACTGGAATTCTTCAAACTTTTGTTTATGCGTTGCTTCCGCCTCGGCCAACCGTAGTTTTGCGACTCTACTCCTGTACTCTTCTTCAATCTTTTCATCCTTTGCCGTTGCTATTCGTTTCAGGCCTTCTGCTTCTTTTCTTGCATCATCAGCACGTGTTTGGTACATTTTGGCTTCCTCCTGTTTGATTCTCACGAAGCTCTCCAGTTCAGGTAGAAATAGTTGCTTTTCAGCACTCCTCTGCAGTTCTGGCTCTAAAGAGCATTTGTCAGACCGGTCACCACGGAAACTAGGAAGCCGGCTAGATGAACTTTCCAATTGAGGAGCTTTATCAGAATAAACAGATTTGAGACGTGTAGCATCCTGACTTGGCCCAGCTATAGCATCGATTCCTTTGTCTTGTTCTTTTCCAGACAAAACAGTTGTATTGCCAGGCTTGAAAGAATGACTATCTGCAACCAGAACAAAAGATATGGGTTTTGGGTTTAATGGCATTGTCTCGTAGTAGTTCAATTCCAGTGCAGTAATAAGAACGATAACTAAATAATTTATATCAGCCTTCTAGATAGATGTTGCTTACAAATGCCCTAAGGTGCTAGTTCGTTCGAGTAATTTTCTGGTATTGCTATAACAAAAGATATGGGCTTTAGGTTTAATGGCATTGTCTCATAGTAGCTCAATTCCAGTGCAGTAATCAGAACGATAACTAGTAATTTATACATGGCTTCTAGTTAGGTATTGCTAACAAATGCCCTAAAGGTGCTAGGTCGTTCGAGTAACTTACCAGTCAGGAAGCTCATCATTTGACTAAAAAGCTCAGGAAGGTCCAACTTATTCGTCGTCAATCTAAAAAGCACTTGATCAACGAGGTTATGCAGCTGTTTGCCTCTCACATCTTTGCTGCCATAAAATATCCTCTTGACATATTCAAGTTCCTTGGAAAAGGTTTCAAGCGTCCAATCCTTTGCAAAATTCTGAAAAACCTCCTTTACAAAGCCAAACATCTCAGAAGGGTGATCACAGGCAACACAATGAAACAGCATCTCAGCTGCACCATGTCCATTCCTAATATGAGCTTCCCTTAAACCACAATCCGCATGGCACCAATGAAGACACACATCACAACCAACCCAACTACAAGTATTGGATGCCATGTCAAATTTTGAACATACAAGACACATACAAGCGCTGCAAAAACCATTCTTCTTCGAGCAAACCTTGCAATCACATTCATCCACGGGCAGAGAACTTCGGCACGTAAGATTACGGCATCTTAAGTTCAGAAAGACCTCAGCCAAATCAGAAGATGAAACACTATTGTCCAACCGAAGATACTCTGGAAGACCAGTTTTCAGGGCAGCCAAGATTTCCAATTGAGCCCGATGACATTTTAGAAGCATTTCCAACGTTAAATCAGATCGGCTCTGTAGGGCCTCCTGAAATGCACGCAGCTCGCCATGCTTACCTGCATTTAACATAATCTCAAATGTGCTCTCTTTTAGACAGGCAATTGATTGTCCTGTCATTTCATGACACTTCCTAGCCATAACATGGATAGGCTCAAAAACCATCCTGCACAATGTAGTCTCAACAAAATCAGCTCCGCCCATCAGAATTTGTTCTTGCTCTTTTTGGCTACTGCACCTATATAGGCTACCACCATGCCTCTCTCTTGGGGTTTGCTTCTTGTCATAACTGTAAAATGAACCATTTTGGTGAGGCCTAACACACTGTGAAGTGGACCTGACATCATTCTGTTTATGAAAACTCAACTGCCTCTCAAATCCATTGGGTGCCTTTGAGCTTCCTTCAAAACTGTAAATATTTTGTGCTTGAATAGCTTGACTGTTTGTAATGCCCTGTAATGCTGAAGATTGACCAAATGACCCACTACCATTCCTCAGAATCCTCTGAAACATAGGAACATCTTTCTTCCTGGACTCATTCTGAGATTGCCATGATCCTTGAGAAAGTTGATCAACTCCCTGAACTATGGGCGACTGTGAACAGATTGTTCATTGTTATCCATGGAATTCTGAGTCAAAGAACAACTCGGATTATGGCAAAATGACTGGGAACCTGAAAAGGACATGGATGCAGTAAAATCATCAGAGTTTGTACGAAATGTGTTCGTTAAGGACTGCACACTCCTCCCTTGGCTAGGTGAGCCAGGAACAGCATCCGTATGTTGAGCACCAATAGGCAACAACACATTTGGTAAACTAAGAGAAAGATCAAGTGATTCCAACACCAGCTTCTCTTCTTTCTGCTTATCGGCACCTGATTTTCTTCCTTTTCCACTCTCCTAACAGGAGAGCAAGAGAACAACTCAAAACCCTTCGTACCAGGCCTTTCCATGTCAAGATCTTCATCTTTAGCTTCCCTTTCAGTCCAAATCCCGTTCTGTACAGAATCAGTTGCATTAGCCGATTCAACAGCAACCCCTTTACCTTTATCCATGACATTCCAACTCAATCCCATCTCTAACACATCAACATTAATTTTATGTTCACCATTTTCCCTTGCAGCTCCCTTAATAAAATTTGCTTCCTCGCATTCCTCAACCTGCCTCTCAAGATCAATCCCTTTATCCCCCTTACACCTCTCTTCCAGACAGGATGACATCTGCACAACTGCATCTTTGCTACTATCTTCCTCACATTTAACATCAACATTGACACCTTCTTCCTGCATTTCAAATTCTTCACCATCCCCATCATCCATCTTATCCTCATTAACACTATTACCACCATTTAAACTCTTTCCACAATCTAGCAACTCATCATCTACTTTCCCCTCACCCTTTCTTTCATTCCCCCTCTCCTTATGAACATCCTCCTCAATCTCCACATTTGAATGCATGTCACCTCCATCATTCTCTGTTTCTTTATGACAACACTCTTTCCCATCGCTTCTAACCCCAAATTCAGAAGCCAGTTCATGTTGAGGCTCATCCTGAGGTTCAGTTGCTAATTCATGTTGAGGCACAATCTGAGGTTCAGTAGCTAATTCATGTTGAATCTTATCCTTAGGTTCAGTAGCTGATTCGTATTGAGGCTCAGGTTGAGGCTCAGTAGCTGATTCATGTTGAGGCTCAGCCTGCGGTTCAGTAGCTGATTCACGTTGAGGCTCAGTAACTGATTCATGTTGAGGCTCAGCCTGAGGTTCAGTAGCCGATTCATGTTGAGGCTCAGCCTGAGGTTCACTAGCCGATTCATGTTGTAGCTCAGCCTGAGGTTCACTAGCCGATTCATGTTGTGGCTTAGCTTGAGGTTCAGGATCAAACTCACCTTCCTCCATATCGCTACTAGTCTCACTCTCCACCAGTTTTTCCTCACTCTTCTTCACCTCCCCACCACCACCATCATCACACTCTTAGGCTGCTCACTGCCAGAATCCCTTGACTTCGACTTGGAGCTTCTCCTCCTCATTTCCTCCCTCTCCCTTGACTCGCCAACCATTCGCCCTGCTACCAAAGAATCTCTCGACCAACTTGGCGAATTCACATCCCTGACCTCCCTTAGTTGCACCTTACTAATACTCCCTTTGTGCTCGTTAATTCCAAACCTTTGCCATGAGCTGCCACTTTCACCTCGAGTTCGATCTCTCTCTGATCGGAACCCCTTTGGAAAATCTCTACGAGGCTCACGGAAGCTCTCTGATCTGCGGAGACAACCACTACTACCACCACTCACTCTATAACGATTAAACTCTAATTTTCGCCTATCGAAGCTCTCAAAATCATGCTCAGTTCGCTTCCGGACCATCCTCTCCCTGCTGCTATCCTCATCAGCCCCGGATTG